GTGGGCGACCAACTCCCGCGCGCAGCCAGGGCTTTTTCCCCAGCCGCAGGCAGGGACTGCTTGGTGATGGTCCTCAGGGTCACTTGTGTCCAGCACAGGCAGCTGGCAGCCTCCCAGCAGGGGGCGCCGTAGCCACAGGCCTGGCCCAACGCTTACTCTTGAGCTTCTCCAACTGCATGAGGGCCTTGTCCGTGTACTTCTGCGCCTTCTCCAGGTAGCCGGCCTGCATGGAGTGCATCACGGTCACCTGGAGACAAGACCAGATGGCAGCGGTCACCGGGGCCCTCTCCCCGCCACGTGCCCGGCCCGGCCCGGCCCCGGGGACTCACCAAGTAGACGAGCACACACATGTGTTCCTTGGGCAGCCAATGGAAGAGGTCAGCGGGGTTGCTGGGCAGGATCTCGTCGTCGTGCAGCGTGGAGATGGTCTGGATGCACTGCTGCAGCTGCTTCAGGCATGGCTTCACGCTCTTCACCTGGGCGGGCGGCACCCACACCTGAGTACCTGCCCGCTCCTGCCCTGCACCCCCACCTGTTCCACCCTTTGGATGGAGAGTGTCCACCTCCCCTTCCTGTGGGAAGTCCTCCCACACCCCAGTGCTGGGCTGCCACCAGAGCCCTGGAGAGGCTTGTCCACCAACCCTGCTCCACCTGGCCTTGCCTTCCTGAGCCAGAGGGGAGGGCAGGAGGAGGCTGGGGCACCTCAGGGGTGGGAAGTGGCCTCCCCGGCCCTAGTCCAGCAGGAGCTGTGGCCCTTGGACTGGCCTGTCTGCACCAGGGAGCCTTCCCTGGAGGCCCCACACACAGGCTACCTCCATGGCCCCGGCACCCTGTGAGAACAGGTGCCTGCAGTCTCTTTGGTCCTATGGCCTGAGTGTGACACGGCCCAATAGGGTAAGCTGGGCATGGGTGGGGGAGCTGAGCAAGTCCCAGGTCAAGGAGGCCTGCACGGTGCTTTCCGGGGTCTCCCTGCTGCCAGGCATCACTGTGGCCTGCAGCCTGCAGTCATCCCACTGCGATGGGGCCAAAGTGGAGGTGGACAGGGCAGCCCCGACCCCTGAAAGCCCAGGAACGAGGTGCTCAACTCCAGCGGCTCCTCAACCACAGCAGGGTTACAGCTGGTTCCGTCAATCCCTCTGTGAGCCTCACGGAGCTTTCATCGGCAGGGGCGGAGGTGGACGGATGTTGCCTGAACACCCGCTGAGTGTCAGGCACCGTGCCAGAAGCCTTGGTCTACTTTCTTGTATTTCTCAAACTGCCCTCAGAGGCCTCCTGGTGCTTGCACATTGAGTATATGTGAGGCTACACTCCCGATGTGAGGGCAGGACAGGGTGGGGGTGTGTGTGTGTGTGCAGGTGTGTGGTAGGGGGAAGAGCACTGCCGGCAACAAGACGACGACGAAGTTAACTCTAGCAGAGGCCCACTGCCCCATGTGCTGCCCATGCCCTCCTGTCCCCCTGCAGCTCTCCTGAGAGAAGTGCACGCACCTGTCCGGCATCCAGGTAGTGGGTGACCTGGAGCACCAGGAAGAAGACCCGCAGCGATTCCTTCTGGATGGGGTTCCCCTGCCAGTTCTCCACGATCTGGCCGCAGAGGGTCAGCAGTGGGTGGACTTCCTGCAGCTTGCGCTCCATCAGCAGCAGCTGTGAGGACAGGTGCAGCGTGGGCTGCGGCGGCCTTCCCAGGCGCACGGGGCTGCTGTCCACCTGACCGCTGTGGGACCACTGCCGCCACCCCGGGGGGCAAAGCCAGGCTGGAAATGGGGGCCCACGTAGCTCCGAATGAGGTCCCTTCCTCAGCACAAACCCCACAACCTGGAATTTGAATTCCACTTTTGAATCTGCTGGGGGAACAGGGACCGTCTCCCTGGGAGCTCTCTGCCGTGCCGGAGGGGCTGGCCTTGACACACCCAGCCATTCCACCTGTGCCCGACTTACCATGCCCTTGCTGAGCAGGAACAGTGCCCTAGAAAAGAGATGAGAGTCAGGGCTGCAAAGGCCTGCCTGCCTCCTGGGGTAACTGGCTGCCCCAGTGCTCATGAGACCTAACTGCCACCTCGGGGGATGGACAGTCAGTGAGAAGAGCATGTAGCCCCCAGCGGGGTTTGTCTTATTTACAGGTGGCTCTATTTTGTCCTATGCTATTTTATTTATTTATATTTATGTAGTTAGTTAAGTTTCTGCAATAGGGTGCATGCGCTCAATGGAGAGAGAGACAAGACGAGAGAGAGGCAAAATGAGAAATCATCCCCCGGCGGGGATGGTCATGCTGCAATCCCTTCCCTCTTCTCAGGATTCTGGGCACATCAGCACATGCGCCCAGCAGGAGTTTCAAGCTGCTGGGTCCGGGACTCCGAGTCCAGCACCGTAACCATTATGCCACCTGCTGATCCTTTACTTTTTTGTTTGTTTGTTTGTTTAGTTTTAGTTTTTTTGTTATAGGGTGTATGCACTTACAGAGAGGGAAGAAAAGTGAGAAATCAAACCCCAGGGGGGATGGTCATGCTACAATCCCTTCTCTTTCGTTCTCTTCTCTGGATCTGGGCCACACGTGCCTGGGATGTTTTTCAAGCTGCAGGGCTGGGGACTTGAACTGCACAGCTGATCATGTGGGATCCAGTACCTTAACCACCATACCACCTGCTGGTTCCTGTCCTCTCTTATTGCATGGCTTAGACACCTGTGTGGCTCAAAATCCCATAAGGCACATGTGGTCACGCATAAGGCCGTGTTCTAAGCAGGGTAGAGGATGGCAACTTTGCTACCATCTTAATCTTGTCAACATGATGGGAAGTGGGCTCGGCCTTAGTGGACAGCCCGGGTGGGGCAAGCGGGCAGCTTGGGCCCTGAATGCCTGTGCTTAGACATGCCCTTCACTGAAGTCCCACTGTCCTTCACTTCTACAACCATGAACAAGACGGAGCTCCCTGGGGTTTCTGTCAGGGGTAAAGGGACGAACCCTGGATGACCAGGGCCTATTGACGGCCTTAATTCATCTACCACCTTTATTCTTGACAGAGTTCTTACTCTTTCCTCCTTCTTCTTTTTTTTTCTTTTTTTTCTTTTTGGAGAGGTTTTTTCCGCTATAGGGCGCGTGCGCTCGCCAGACAGACAGAGAGAGAAATAGAGACAGAAAGCTCTCGAGAAATCACCCCCCAGGGGGGATGGTCACGCCACAATCCCTTCTCCTCCATTCTCCTCTCAAGATCTTGGGCACGCACGCACACGCGCCCGGTGTGAGTTTTCAGCCACCGGGTCCGGGACGCGAACTGCGGTCTCCTACGTGGGAGTTCAACGACATAGCCATTACGCTAACTGCTGGTTCCCTTTTTAAAAAAAAAAAAAAAATTATTTATTTTTGTTATTTAATTCGACCAGAGAGAGATAGAGAGAGAGAGAGAGAAAGAGGGGCGTGAGAAAGCAAGTTGCCAGATCTGGGACTCAAACCATGGTTGGCCATGTGGGAGTTCAGTGTCCCAACCACCATGCCACCTGCTGGTCCCTTTCTCACTCCTTCTTCCTTTTTTATTTTTAAATTTTTGCCATAGAGTATGTGTGCTTGCTGGAGAGAGACAATGAGAGTGAAAGTGAGAAATCACGCACTAGGGGAATG